ATCAGTAATTCAGTTAAAAAGTTTATAACATAACACCTGATGACGGCTCTATGATAGCCGAAACATGTCGTAAATGTTCCATATGTAAATCGAGTACTCGATACGGAACGAAAAATGATATTTTAATCTTTTAATTATTTTATATTGTGATTGACGGCCAATTTCAATATATTTTTAATACCTGAAGATGGTTCAATGCAACCGAAACATGTAGAAAAAAGTTGTACCAAATATGTAAATGATATTTTAATATCTTATGTATAATTTTATTTATATACAATTGTGATTAGACGGGAAAAAAACACGATTAAATTTCTAAAAACAAAAAATTAAAGTACATAATCTTAAGCTTAAGCTTAACTGATTAGACGCCACTGCAACCTCAATGGGAAATTCAACAAATTCATTACTTTTAGTACTTTCAAGTCCAGAAGTGCATACAAACAGATTAAAAGCACATTTCTCCTCCTTTGTAGGAAACTACTTCAGCGCGCAGTGTCTGTATGAAGGAGTCTTGGTTCATGGTGAGTAAAATCTGATAAGTTTGCGTTCTGAGGTTTCATCACCGTGGCAGGTAAGTGTGAAGAATATTTTATTACATCTGAGGAATATCTGTTGCCGGATTAGGACAAAACACTCTGCCATAAAAATCCTGCAAAGTCGCCTTTAAAGCGTTTAAACGTCCAGTTTGAGCACAACTTCCATTCACTCGCGTAACTTTAAATCAACATTTAATTTCAGACGTGGCAGGTATCGCTTTGTTGTAATCAGACTCGCCTCTGTTTTGTTCCGGGGGCTACGTGTGGACGTGTTGGAACATAAATACGTTCAGCCATTGGGCGGACTGCGCAATGTAAAATGTTACAATTGCTGCGCGGAGGCCTTGCTATCATGGACGAGGTTCGGGGCCTAACTTAGTTCCTCGTTTACGTGGTATTATTCAAGCCCCAACTTTTCGATCGGCTATGCCATGAAGCAGACAACTGCCCTGGGGACGGACCAAACACATCGGGGGCTTGACCAACGTGTTCAATGATCTGGTACCACCTAAAGTCGCGGACTGCCACGAGCAGAATGTGGTTACAATTTTGGTCAGACCACTCAGACCTCCGTTAGCCACGAAGGTTACGCCAAACAATGGTTCATCGCTAGATACAAGCCCTAACAGCTACTACGGAGTACTCAGACACAGTCCCGGACGAGATGCGCTTTGTATCAGGATCGATACGACGAAGGCAAGGAACAGAGGAACTATGTCGGCCCACTTTTGGCATATTCACTGCAGGAGACACATTTGTCACCGCGCTTATATTAGTTACATCTTACAGACGCCAACTCAGGCCACCCCCCTAATGTAAGCACCATTAAGGAAGCCTTCATCTTCCTCAACAAGTCGCACGTCAAAGGAAGACGGAGAACGGAACCGGGGGTCAAACCCCGGACCACAGAACAGCAAAGGCAATAGCACCAGCTATAATGGAATTATTAATTAATAAAGAATCTAGATATGGATTCGGTGAAAGATGATTCTCATTCAGACAGTCATATGTCTCAGGATATAAATAAGGTCATCAGAGTAAAATCTGAGGATGACGCGGATATAGAAATCGAGGAACGTCCTGTTCCAATACTATCTGCAGTAATCAAGGATGAACAGGAGATATGTCCATTAAAGTGTCAATTGTCCTCATGTGTGTCTGTCCATCCAAATGAAAAAAAGTGTCTTCCGATGAATAAATTTTGAAATTGTATCTAAGTTATGAATGGTATAGATTCTTCGTCCTTGAAAGACTCCAAATTCACGTAAAGAACTCTAAAGGCGTCCGGATTTTTCTTTACGAGAGAGAATGAGGCACGCAGGCATTCGACTGCGTATTTGCTCACGGAGAGAAAAATTAGAAAATCAAAATGACTCAGGTCCGAATGTCGGCAGAAACTCGTCTAGAAATCTGGGTTTGGTATCGATTCTTCGTCCTTGAAAGACTCCAAATTCACGTGAAGAACTCTAAAGGCGTCAGGATTTTTCTTTACGAGAGAGAATGAGGCACGCAGGCATTCGACTGCGTATTTGCCCTTAAAACACGCTCACGGACAGAAAAATAATAAAATCAAAACGACTCAGGTCTGAATGTCGGCAGAAACTCGTCTAGAAATCTGGGTTTTCCTCGGTTCTTCCAGGTTAAGTCCCCATGTAAACTGAGAAAGCGTTTTTTTTATGAACGCGATAATTAAACAACTTATTATTATCAAAGACAAATATTATTCCGAGGTAAATATCCCGTGCAGGGTGCTATAGTGTCCTTAAGAGACGCATAAATCATCGATCAAGATACGCAATTACAGATCTTGATCACAGGGATTAAAATATTTGCACTTTCACATTACAACACCCAACACTGAAGCATGTAAAGAAGATTATAGTAATGGCGGCAATGCTATTCACCTTAACCGTGAAATTGGCTTTGGTGATAGGTGGGGACAAAGATTCCCACGGTTACGCAGCGACAGCTGTGTCGTTTTCGTAGTAAGCGACACGTAGTCTCACACGCCCTTATCTGGTCCTGCCTAAGCCTTCAACGATCTATGAGATTCTTTGCCGCGATGATCCTGTGATCTTTGACGTAGTCTCCTTTCCAAAATTACACGAGATTCAAAACTCGTTACATCGACAATATGAACGATTTGACAGTCACAAAACACTAATACCTAGAAGAAATTGTGTAAGTGACTGAAGAGACTTCATTTAGGTGGCCATATTTGAAACAAAAACTGCCAATTCATCCACTTGCTGGTCATCGAATTAAGAAATACCTTTCCCACTTTCACTGGCAAGTATATGGCCATTTTCCTTGTACTGATTAATCAGGGGACGGCGATCTATGCGGCGGTGAAACCTGACAACAAAGACGCGGTAAGTGACACGTAGGCTTAGGTTCGTTCCTGCCTAAGCCTTCGACGATCTACGAAATTCTTCGATTTGATATGGGCTGTAAGCAATGACATCAGTGAACATGACAAATGAAACAAACTTTCACATCGCAGACCCCTCTGGACGCGAGCGGCTATGCCATGAAGCAGACAACTGCCCTGGGGACGGACCAAACACATCGGGGGCTTGACCAACGTGTTCAATGATCTGGTACCACCTAAAGTCGCGGACTGCCACGAGCAGAATGTGGTTACAATTTTGGTCAGACCACTCAGACCTCCGTTAGCCACGAAGGTTACGCCAAACAATGGTTCATCGCTAGATACAAGCCCTAACAGCTACTACGGAGTACTCAGACGAGATGCCCTTTGTATCAGGATCCATACGACGAAG